GTCCGTTGTCGGGAAGGAATCAATTATTCTGCGCGATTATAGACACACACGCGTGTCTCTTCTAACGAATCTATCGATATTTCGCTGAAGAGCATTCGACGAACGTAACTTGTTCATCGGGACTGTATCGGAAGTCAAAGTATTTCGAATAAACTGCTCCTGAAATTGCGCCGTGTCTTTCGTTGGCGCAAAAGCGTGTACATACGTTCGAATCTTTAACGAAATTGCAATTAGATCGCGCGCGTATTCCCATGATTCTCGTCGAATCGATTTTATGCGGTATTCGTAAAAGGAAAATGCGTACGAGTGCGCGAGCGCGCATGTGCGCGGGTCAAGGGTAGGGATGGAGATGCACAGATAAATAGATGGATGGATAAATAGATAAGGACGAGGAAGAGGGACAGAGAGAAAGAGAATTGCAAGTCTGGCGTCAGAGTTCTCTCAGTACCATATTCGATATAATTAAAGTGCATAAATAAACACAATGGTACAAGGACCGGTTAGAAAGGGCGAGAAGCAGTGGCAGTGGTGGCAATGCCCATGTAGAAGGGATACTTGCTCGGTAGGTAAGAGCATTGAATGCAAATACTCGCAGAGAGATATCTCCGTATGAGTGCAAGTTAGCATGCTCGCGTGTTTGCACGCTTGGTTGCTCGATACCTTGCCGCGAGTTTTAGCCGAGGTGACCGCTGCCTTATACATGTACACTTGTGTGTGCGCACGCTAGTATGGTACGGACAGCATATCCGTATACGGCTGGTCGATCGCGAATCGCCATACCAAGGTAGGCGTAAAAGTAGGCGCGCATACATACCCATATACTAGATACGTTTATCGGCTGACTCTCCAATTTCTATCCAGATCATCGTCGTACTCGATCAAATTTTCAAACTTTTTATTCTTTGTTACTGCAAACGCGTGTCCAGTTTACACTTGACGCGATGAAACAGCGACAATCGAATCAATGTTTCCCCGATGCGACGAGAATAGTATCGAAATATTAACAAATAAATTGCCGTTGGAATTCGTCCAAATGTTGGAGTTTCCATTTGCGGTTACGGGAAAGCTAATCTTTCAATCTTTCTTCTAATTCGTTGAAGCGTATTTTCGAAAAACTACACCAATTTGTATTTTGACGGCAACTCGACGATGACTATACGTGTTAAGCGTGTCAACGAACGTAAGAATTCAACTGGAGACATTGAACGCGAATGTAGCACGTGTGCCGCTTCGCTTCGACATGCTGATCCATCGTTGACACCAACAGTCGGAAAGAACGTGAAAAACGACTCGGTACGCGTTACCTGCGTCTACCAACAGCTCAATTCGGCAACTATTCGTCGAAGAAATTCCATCGAGGTGACGCGATGCATCGATTAAAATATCTCATTGAACCTGCGCGTGATTACCCGAAAAAACTTGTTTCCCTCGTCAAATGATTTTCAGGTTGTACAAGAATTTAGCATTAGACAAATGATAAATAAAAGAATGAAGAATAAGTAATAAAGAGGAGAGACTCCTTCAACTTGGTTTATTCTCTGTAGAGATTGCGTTACTCGCGCTGTAGTTAGTCTTAACGATTTTGAGTCGGCAACGCGATAAGTTTATCCTGAGCGGTCCAGGCGGTTGAGAGAAGCCGTGTGTCGCAGGAATTGTCGGCGCACCGGAGTCGCTGCGACGCGCCAGTCTGGTCCGGTATGCCCACGGATTCGATATAAATAGACGCGGCGTGCAACGTTCGTTCCCCCGTGCGACTATTCGATAGATAACCAGCGTCGATAGATGTTCCAAGTTCTTCTTTGGTTAAACGGCCCAAAACGTATCGTCTGTGTACGTGTCACGCGACACTCGATACGTAAACGCCGAACAAACCAGCAGATACGCGTATACCAATTTTCCTGCTGCTCCACATTCGTCTTTCGATCTTGCGAATCTAACGTACCGACGGATTTCTTTAGCTTACTATTTTACTATTCCCGTTATTCGTCTCTGTCAGTTTACCGGCCTGGCACGCGCTTGCTTCCAATTATCAAGCCGGTCGCTAACGAATATCAACGGTATACAAGCGCACGATCTTGCGCCGTCGCACCAACATTTATAGAATCCCACAGGAAAATGTAAACGACAAATTTTCACATCGAACAATTTCGTTTCTCTCGCGTTCGTCCAGTCCCCTGCATGATACATTTAAACCGAACGAACAACGTTCCGTAACTGGCTTTTATCGGCCCGATCCCCGACACAGACATTTTCGTCTGTCGAAAAGCCTTTTCTTCTCGAATAAGTTGTACGTTTCGACGTTTGGGAAAACGCGAGTACGATGATTCTTAACGTGCGTATTTTCAAATACAATTCCGTGTTTAGTACGTGGTGCCACGGATTCTAGAGGACACGCAATTTCGGCAATGCATCTCGGTGAAAAAAGTCGAATAAGATATGATACGCGATCAAAGAAATCCGATGGGTATGGAGACCGCGAGAGGACCGGGGAGGGTGGAAAGTGATTCTCCGCCGGGTTTAGGCAACGTTGCGAGGGTACTCGATTACTCAATTAAAGCGTAGTGTCGGTAGGCGTGGCAGCTGGACGTACTCACGCACATATATCACCAAGGAACATCTCGCACCACCAGATTTCTATGCAGTATATATTTACACGAGACAAACAAATAAATGAATTTTCATCGAAAACTAGTCTTCGAATACGCGAGAATAAGTTGAGTGGAAAACCGTTTGACCCGTGAAAAATGACGGGTCGTGTCGGACAGAGAAGCGGGCGCAACGGAATTTCAAACAATCAAAAAAGGAAACGCGAATGTGATTTCGGCCACGGCGGACGTCCGATATCTACTTATCGTTGCTCGTAAGTTGCATCTCGAGATAAACGTTTGTGCGCGTCACAGTCCTCGGACTATGCCTTGCAAAGTTGGCTGTCCACGCCGGAAATACCTACTACACTACTGGGACTGAATGAAGTCGTTGTTTCGATAGCATTTGCTCGCTTCTCGCGAGACGATGCGGCGGCGGCGGCGGCGGCGGCCAGACTCGCCGAAAGAGTTTCGTTTCGAAACGAATAAATTTACTCCTCTCTGGCCAACGTGGAATCGCTTCGTTTCCAAAACATAAACCTTTCCTAGATAGAATCATTTCTTAAACATCTTTTCTCCTATATCTTACTCCTCGAGAATATTTTCCAACGACTCGACGCATTCTTCGTTTTTCATGTTACTTGCGAGGAACCGCATAAGAAAGCGTATGGATACGGAAGCAGGGTCAAGGTATGTACGTGCAAATATAATGCTCCAAAGATCCTTTCCGCTTTGGCCTTATGTGGCCCGGCTGCGAGCGGCAAAAATCATTGGAGCATTGTTTACGATACGAGGAGGCCTGATTCTTTTGAATTTAATGGGAACAAAGGCTGTTTGAATCTTGTCATAAGTAGTAAGTAAGCGGTCGATTAAACATTGGACGTAAGCAGCGAGGTTATTGTTTCTTTTCCTTGAGATACCATTCATCCGGAACAATGCCGCCTTAAATAATAACCCACATAGATACTCTTCGACATTTGTGGCCGATGTAAAATAACGTTTTGCGTTACAGTTTTCATTTCGTTGCAGCCAAAGGGAGCGAGAGTGTTACCTTTCGATTACTTGAAAAGTACAGTACGTATTGTCAAAACTATACGACGTACAACGTAACGGATTAGTTGCGCGTTGTATCGCATTATATCGCATTATATCGCGCAACCAGCAAAATGGCCACTCACCGACTCTATGATTTTCTCTGTAAACGAAATAAACGGAAACGTTTACCGTGTCGGCGCTACCTATCAGCGAATCCGTCGATATAGAGCGTCGTAGTCCTCCACAGGGATTAAAAGCTACACCGCCTACTCTCTCTTTCTCTTTCTCCCTCTCTCTGCACGCCCCCAACCCCTCTCACACTGTGCGTGCGTGCGTGCATGCGTGCGTGCGAGCGCACCCATCCCCTTTTGCTTGTCCCGACCGCCTCCTCTCGCTGTATCTTTCTCCTTTGTACATCTCCCGCTCCGTTTGCTCGTCTAACCCTCCAGCTCCCATTTTCTTCCTCTCTTTTCCCCTAAAAGCCATGCGAAGTAACCCTGGCACAGCACACTGGTACTATGCCGTCCAGCTAATCGATACGCGGCGGATGGAGCGAACGAGGGACCCGAATAGGTTCCCAGATAGCAGAGGGTTGAAAGCAAACGATGGATAGGTGTTATTTTGTCGTGGCGAGAATCGAAGAAAAGAGAGACGAGGGAGAATCGGTCGCCGAACAGTTTCAATCGGTCGATTCGTTTCTATTGGGACTGTAGATTCTCCTAAATTTCAACTTATCCCACTATAGCCTAGAACCTGCGTTCTTTCGGATCATTCGAATCTTTCTCTTCTTCCCTTTTAACCGAACGTGTATTTTCAAATACTCTTATCCTTTTCGTATTTCCTTCTTTCGTGTCCCTATGAATTCCCAGCAAGTTTAGTTCCGTAAAAGTTGAACATACGGCGAGCCTGTAGCACAAGGCCTTATTCATAGCGAAGGACGGCCATAACTGCCGTTTATACCTACCGCCATTGCTATCGCCATCTTAACTGTTGAGTATCACGGTACATGCGACAAAGATTAACAAAGCAGGGAAGATCGCTGGTTCTGTGTAACATGTACGACAAGTAGAAACGTGTGTGAAAAGTAAAATAAATTTTTTTACAAGATATCACGGAATCACGCGATCATATTCGCGCGATGCCCTTCATTGCTCGTCAATCGTCGTATGTACTTGTTAATGAACAGAATCTATGTCGTTACACATCATTTCTACATGTATGCGAATAGAAGCGAAAACAAGTCGTCACGAATGAAGCACAATCGAATTCGAATAATCTAGAATAGGTGGGGGATTAAGATTAGGCGGGAAAAAGGAAAGAAAAGTACTTCACTGTCCCTTTAGATAATTCATTTTCAAGCATTATGCTTGAAATCGGTCAAAGCTGTTCTTCGTGGGGCCGGTGTAAATGATTTGTCCGAGAAACCACCCGTAATTCATCGGGAAAGGAGGTTGCATCCGATGCAAACTACATTTTATAAGAAATGCCGCTTTATAATAAAACAGATATGTTCGCTGTATGCACATTACGGTAAGCTATCCTGCATCGCATCGCACACAACACAGAACGCTGTTTGCCAAGTATACATACGTTCGATGTAGATACAGCTTCGTATCGATTTCTATTCTCCTTCTCTTCTTCTCGCTACCTCTCGCTCACTCCTTTCGTATACGTATGCTCTACCGCACTACCACTACCGCTACTACCATCATCACCACCACCACCACCACCACCACGACCACCGCTAGAATAGGCACATAAAAGTGCGAGCGTGCGTGCCTGCGTGCTTGCTAGCGCACATGTGTGCTTACGTATATGTACGAGCGAGTGAACGTGTATTTACATTGCTTCGATTGAAAAATTAGAATCTCGATCCAAAAATGAATAACGTTTCTTTTGTCTGTTTCATATTCTGTTCACCTTTCTCGAAAATGTGCATTCATTTTCGGACCAAATTTCTTATCGTTTAATCGGCATTTTTCCCGTCCCCCCTTTGAGAATAAATGTCTGTGTCGTTTCTTTCATATCGGCATCGAATGCGAAGCTTTTTCTTTTTTTTGAAAATCCTATGTCTCGAAAAAATACCAAAGATAAGCTAGACTGAAGAAAGGACTATGATAATATCTATACGCGATCCGTGGAAACAGTATGTTTTTAGACCCATGAATATCGTGTGTTCTTATATTTCAACATCTCCAAGGCCAACAGCTTTGGTGCACAATCCGTTTTATCGTTTCATTACAATCATTTTACTTTTTACAGCTCAATTTCGCACAGAGTACTAAAATTTCTAGAGGAAAGTTGTATCACTGGTTTAGCGATTGAAATATAAGATGAAGACGAAGATATGTATAAATACAAGTGTACTTGTACGTTTTCCTTCGGAAATATTCATCGGTTAATGATACGCGTGTAGCGATATATTTGATTTACCGGCCTATTGCTCGTATTTAACTGACGATACAGGTACAGTACGTTACCGACGAGAACCCAGCCGGCCTGTGACTGAAAAGTGAAGAGGGGCAAGGGGAAACGACCACTCGCGGCGCTCGGCGCTCGGCATAGTAATGGCGGAACTAGTTTCGGCACGTCTTTGTTACTGGCCGAGCCGCGAGCCGAGGTGGAGCGTGCGACCGAATCCCCTTGCCTCTCTTCACTTTTGAGCTGCAGGCCGGCTGGGTTCGCCTCAGTAACGCACTGTACTTGCAGCTATCGCGTTATGTCGTCTGAAAGCAATGGTACGCCTGCCTTTCGGTTTCTACCGACCACAACTAATTCTAATTTTCTTTCTCGGAGGTAGAGACAGAGTTCGGTCTGGTTCTTTTCGTTGCGGCGAGCACATCGAGCAGGCTCGATTAATCCAAGTACCTGCATAAATATTAATTACACTCGAGCCAAGTACACAAGTATACGGTATAGAAGTTGGTCTCGGGAAACGGTTAGGCGTTGCGAGCCCAACGTCGGCATCGTACCAGATCAATGGAAACATATAAACAAGTTAGAGTAGAGAAATAGAGAAACGGAGAACGTACCTGCGACAGTGAGAGTGGCGTTTTGACTCGAAACGGAACCAGCTTGATTTCTCGCGACACACCAATAAACTCCACCGTCCTGTTCCTTTTTTCCATGCATTACCCTCAAGAAAAATAAAGATCCCGTAGGAAGTAGAACACGATGAGACTTTGCATCTCCTGGCGATGTTTGAACCAATTCACCGTCTTTGTACCACTCGATCACTGGTTGAGGTTTACCTTCCGCCTTGCAATTCAACGTTACGGGTTCGTTTTTCGCCACAGTTATGTCCGACGGATGTTCCGTTATGCGCGGTGATCTCAATTGCCCTGAAACAAGAATTTTGTTTGCATCTAGTATACGAAAAATCATTCGAATAATTCTTTCTAATCCGCCTTTTCTTAGCAATCGTACTCCGGTCGAGTCGAGAAACGTATATAGGTAATTTTATTGAAATTTCCTGTTTCCTCGTTTAGATGCACAACAGTTCTCGAGGTTGCGACACGATGGTAATTGCTTCGAGATTATCGCTGTTACTGTACGTCGACGATGCTAGCGCTCGCGCGAGTAACTAACAATAAGTTTCGATCTTTATATTCGTACCTATCGGGCAAAGGTATTACAACCATGTCGACATAGCAGTGGTCATTCTGAAATGGAAGCTATATAGGTACCTATACACATATCTACACATGACCGACAAACCAAGCCACGTACCTACATACATGGGAGTCTACGATCGCTTTGCGTGCTTTGTAAATTCTATTCCTGCGGAGCGTCCGAAGCGAGGGCACTCGGGAAATGTTTCGCATCCGTAAGAACGTTTACCCGAATGCCATAACCCACAGGTACATGGACAAGTACCTTGCGCATACAAGTATACACGTCTACGCGTACGAACCAGTGTGAATGCGAGTGAACCTGTGCGAACGTGTATACGACAGGTGGACAAATATCCGTCACTCTGTATAAAATTCAATATTCGTGTAATACACAAGTACTTGTGTATTTCCATGGTTTCATACAGTTGCTAAACACGCATGTCCCATCATTTTCCGGATGCTTTTCACAGGTTCGAATAATCGCCAACGCAAAATCAATATTCCAGAACGAATCAACGCGACCGGGCGTAAGACATCCGAGCTTCAACGATCCAAGCACGGCTGAGTCCAAATGCATGAAGAAACACCGAACGTTTCGTATGCCGGCATGCCAAGTAGAGGAAAATCACCCGAAACAATTTATTTAAATTAGAAAGAATCGAAAGAGAATAGAAAGAAGAGAAGGCATGGACTTAAGAACTTAAGAACGTTCAGATACGGTTGAAAATGTGGATACGAGCAACCACGGAATTGGTACGCCCAAAACAGTTTTTATATCGATAATATTCTCCATACGTGCACAGGGATTCTCGAAATATAGAGACGGTCGTTCGTAAAACGCGCGAGCACGCACGCGCGAGCACCGACACGCTTTCCTTTTGTATTCTTGCCTCGGTACTCGGAAACAATAGACGCTGCGGCTAAATTAAAATCGCCTCCGGAGTTTTCATATTTCGCTGTTGAACAGAGTCGTAGGCAAGCGAACGCGCGAGGACGAACGCGCAGCTTTTGCGTTCGGTAGGCCCGAGGCACCTCGTTTCATTTCAGTTCCAACTCCTCCGAATCAAGCTATCCGGGCAACCTGTGCATTGCCAACTCTTCCCCATTCTCGTTTCTTTTGTATTCCAACGTATC